CCCCCCCCCCCGCCCCCCTTTGCAGGAGAAGGAGGCCCAGATCGCCACCTCCACGCAGAAGGTCCAGGGCCTGGAGGCCGAGCTGCAGGACCTCTCGTGCCAGGAGTCCAAAGACGAAGCCTCCCTGGCCAAAGTCCGCAAGCAGCTCCGCGACTTGGAGGCCCGAGCCAAAGACCAGGAGGAAGAGCTGGACGAGCAGGCGGGCACCATCCAGGTGCTGGAGCAGGTAAGGCCCAGGGTGGGGCTCCCCTCCCTCCCTCCCTCCCTCCCTGCCGCGGCTCTGGCTGCGCCGGTTTTCTGGGCGGGCCGGTTCCACGGGCCACAGACGCCTCTCCTTGCACGGCCGGAGAAGGAGAACGAACGCCCGGGCCGGTTTGGGGTGCTGGCGAGGGGAGGAGGCAGCCGCCCGGCCAACTGTCTCAGCCATGCAGGCCGTGGAAGCTGCGGCAGCCCGGAGGGTGAGCGATGGCTGAGGAAGGGGAGAATCTTTGGAGCTCGGGGCTGAAGGAATGTGGGGAGGGGGTTGTCCCTTGGGCACCCTCCGAGCTTCGGTGGGTTTCCATGCAGGCGTTGCGTGAGCCAGCTAGGGAACATCATCAGGGCTAAAGGGGAGTGTGGGATTTGATTTACTGTTTATGTACAAGTTGCTTGTCCTGTCCATGTTGGTCAGAGTGTCATTTTGATTAGACAGACAGACACCAAAGTAGGTAAGTAAGGAGGTAGGCGGGAGAGAGAGAGAGAGAGAAGGATGGATGGATGGATAGAAAGAGAAAGAGAATGTTGGATGGATGATAGAGAGAGAGAGAAGGATGGATGGATAGAGAAAGAGAGAAGGATGGATGATAGAGAGAGAGAGAAGGATGGATGGATAGAGAAAGAGAGAAGGATGGATGATAGAGAGAGAATGATGGATGGATGGATGGATAGATGAGAGAAGGATGGATGGATGGATAGAGAGAATGATGGATGGATAGAAAGAGAAAGAGAATGTTGGATGGATGATGGAGAGAGAGAGAGAGAGAAGGATGGATGGATGGATGGATAGAAAGAAAGAGAAAGAGAAGGATGGATGGATGGATGGATGGATGGATAGATAGAAAGAGAAAGAGAATGTTGGATGGATGATACAGAGAGAGAGAAGGATGGATGGATAGAGAAAGAGAAGGATGGATGGATGGATGGATAGAGAGAATGATGGGTAGACAGATAGAAAGAGAGAGAGAGGGATGGATGGATGGATAAATAGAAAGAGAGAAGGATGGATGGATAGATAGAATGAGAGAAAAAGACATAATGATGGACAGATGGATGGATAGATAGAGAAAGAGGGATGGATGGATAAATAGAAAGAGAAGGATGGATGGATAGATAGAACGAGAGAAAAAGACAATGATGGATGGATAGATAGATAGATAGATAGATAGATAGATAGATAGATAGATAGATAGATGATAGATAGATAGATAGATAGATAGATAGATAGATAGAGATAGATAGATGATAGATAGATAGATAGATAGATAGATAGATAGAGATAGATGAGATAGATAGATGATAGATAGATAGATAGATAGATAGATAGATAGATAGATAGATAGATGATAGATAGATTGATAGATAGATAGATAGATGATACAATTAGAGGGGGGGAGAGAAGATGGAGTCCTTGGTGCTCTCTGAGCTTCCTTGGTTTCTCGCAGACATTTCATGACCCAACTAGGTAACCTCATCAGGGCTACGGGGAAATCGGTTTGTTCTGAGCTTATCTTCTAGCTTGCCCTGTCCGTGTTGGTGGGAGTGGTCGGGGGGGGGGTGTTTCTTACTTTGGGCTTTGGGCTCTTGCCAGTTCCTTAATTGGGGCATTGTTTACTCCTTGTTTGTTGTTCGGTTGTTAATCTTGGAGTTACTCTCCCCCTCCGGGTGCTGATTGCTTTTGGGGGGTGGGTGGGCGATGTTTTGATCCTTTGGCTCCCTTTTGGGCTGATAAGTAACCCCCCCCCCCCCCGAGCCCATTGATCCAGTGGCTCTCTTCCCAGGACCCCCCCAGGCAGCCCCCAGCGGGGGTTTCTTTGCCCCACCAAGCTGCCTTCCGGCTGGCGGCTCCTTCTCGATATCACCCGTCCCAACACGAAGGGGTGCGTGGAGGGCAGGAGCTGGCAAAGCGAGTCTGATCGATGCCAAAGCCGCCGCCGCCTGCCAGTTCTTAGAGGAAGGGGGCTGGTGGGGGAGGGGGACCGGGGGTGGGGGGGAGGCCGTACATTTCGGCTGGACGTTTGGGAGGAAGAGAGGCAGGCGAGGTTTCGGCAACCAACCAAGATGACAGCCAAGCTCTTGGTGGGTGGGAGGGGGGAAACCTGGTTGTCTGAAGGGTTTGGGTAGTGGTTGAGAACACAAAAGCTGAGGAGGGGGCCCCAGCCTGCAGCTTTCTGGAGGCCCCAGCGTCTTCTGAAGGGCTGCTACGGTGATTGCATTTATTTATCGCCTGCCTGCCTATCTGTCCATCCGTGCGTCCGTGCATCCGTCTCAGGGATGGGCTTCAGACGGTTCGCACTGGTTCGGGGGAACCGGCTGTTAGCTCCAGCGGGTGCGTGGAACCTGAGGAGCTGGAAAATGGGCACCCCAGAGGCTCGTAGAGGGCGAAAACGGGCCTATTTCCAGCCTCCAGAGTGCCTCCAGAGCCCAGGGAGGTGGGAAACAGGCCCTCCACAACCTGTTTTCACTCCCAGGATGGTACAGGAGGCCGACTAGGCCATGCCCACCCAGTAACCAGGCAGAGAACCGGTTGTTAAATTACTGTATTTGAAGCCCACCACTGATCCATCTCTATCTATCTATCTATCTATCTATCTATCTATCTATCTATCTATCTATCTATCTATCTATCTATCTATCTATCTATCTATC